ACCCACAGCACAGCAGGCAGTAATGATTATTAATTATTTAAGAAAAGAACATAAGAGCACCAGCATAAGCTGAAAAAAAATATGCAGAAGCATCGCTCTGGGATCCTCCAGCTGGATTACTGTTAATTAGCACAGCATATGAGTCTCAGGAAAATTTCCAAAAGCATCTTATGCCAGTAGGACCGTACAATTAGGCTATTGTCTGCACCCTTGCAATAGTTTAAGTTTTCTTCCTGATAGCATCATGGGCACCACTCCATTCACAACTAAGTACGGCATAGCTCTCCTATCCTAGTTTAGCTGGGCGACAGCACAACAGTATTATACAATCATACGCCGCAAAATTTAACATCCTGGATTTATTTAGAAAGACTTTTGCGGACTAAGATACTAGAAGGCTTCCTAAACCTTTAGGAAATTTTATATTTATATTCTTAAAACAATAGAGTATAAAGCAGGCTTTGACCCACCTCAGTTTATCACCACCAACCTTACTCAGTTATGTTATCAAGTGAGGTGACAATTTCCTGCTGTAATAGCCACTTGTAGTGTCAAAGGACATGCTGGATGCTCAAGAGACTAAAACTAACCCTAATCCTAACAGTAAGCCAAACCCTAATTATGACCCTAAGCCAACACATACGTCACCAATTTCTCCCATCAAAAAATGCTCCCAATGGAAGCCTTTGGGTAGACCTGAACTCCGCTGGGAAGCCTTTATGCAACCCCACATACAACAAGAGTCTGCGCTTTCTTGCTCTCCAAACCCTAACAACCCTAACCCAAATTATGACCCTAAGGCAACACATACATAGCCAATTCATACATCTCCCATCAAAAAGTGCTCACAGTGGAAGCCTTTTTGTAGACCTGTGTGAAGTAAAGTTTTGTTTTTGCAGTGGAAAATTCCAGTGACTTTACATATTCAGAAGTGATTGAACAGTGAAGGTCTATGTTAAGCAGAAAAGGGGAAGGTCCAAGTGTCCCCAAAAAAGGGAGGATAGATAAGAAAAACAATATGAGTAGTTTGATACCAGTAAAATAAAAAGTCATGAATCCCTATAGTGATGAGACAGGAAGGGGAAAAGAAAAAAAAGGAGAAAGTAACATTTGGTCATATAAAATTGCACATATATGGTGTAGTAAAAAGCGTTGAGTAGTTTGTGAACCTGTAGTACTCAGCCAATGTGGAAACGTGAGGAATCAAGTGTTGGGTAATACGGAAGATAAAGTTATGATATACTTTTGCTGTGCGCTCCTGCTTGCAGGACACCCACCATTGCTATAAAAATGCTATGCTTGAGCCTGTGTTATTGGCTACAGATCGTTTCTCACAATCAGAACTTTAAAATCAAGTTCTAATTAAAAAATCTGCTATTAAATCTATCATTAATACAATAAAATGTATTAAATTACAGTAGACGTTTCAGTGCATGATACAGCAATACATATATTCACTAACCTTTTGTCTTTTAAGATCTTGTTTCAGAGACTTATTATTCCGAAATGTCTTCATTTATCCTGGACACATAGTGTCAGATACTTTAGGCCTGCCTCTTCAGGTGCTCTGAACATCAGCAGCTCCCATATGATTGAGGTGGAAGCTTGGATGTTTAAAAGTCACAGGAGAGAAATCTTGGGCAATAGCAAATCCACTAACTGTCCCTCCCTTGGGTGTAAAAACTCTATAAAGTCAAAAAACAAACAAACAAACAAAACAGACCCACCCTGCAGCAATGCAAGGTGTCACATTTTCCATTCTCCAGAGAGAATTGATATAAGGGTTTACTTCCCTACCAGAAAAGACTTACCAGAACTCAGTAAGGGTGATATAAAAATGATGGACGTGGGGAAAATAAAAGATGCCTGCAGGCTGACTTTCAGATCTTTACAACGTAAAAACTGTATTTGTCCTTACAGAGGCCACACTGGAAACAAAAATAAATGGTTATATTTTAATTTGGCTACCTTTTCAGCCACTAATGAAACAGCCTTAAATGCCTTGGTCTATAGGGTGTCATTAATACGGACAGTGTCATTAATACAGAATTCTGTCAAAATGAACTTGATTTTAACAGGTAAATAAACAGGGTAAATTATAAATAAGGGGTTTCCTAAGAAATCTTGTATTTTTCCTTTAATACAAAAGTAACTTGCTACTTTTCCGTTCAAGATCAAAGAAGGGAAATAATACAAGACAAGAAAAAACAGAAGAAACAGACAGCATCTGAAGCTTCAATTTTCTCTCTAACACCCCTTATTTCAGCTCAGTACAGTCATGAGATTCACCCTATAGAGAAAAACAATTAGATAAGGGAGTTTACATGTGGCCAGAAAGAACTCTGGGCAACTCTGCTGATGCATTTAAAGCTACTTCATATTTTGTATTTCAGAAGTAAAATGGTAAACAAAAAACAAAGCACTTTTAATCTTCAAAGCAATTCATGATCAATGACAACTTCACAGCACTTGAGAGTCAAGTATCATAATCTCTGAGATTCTGGGAGAAAAAAAAAAAGCGTAGAGAATAAGTGATCTGCCTGACTGTAATGGTGAACCAGGGATGGAACTCAAACATCACAAGCTGGTATATTAAACTGCAAAACTATACATTCATGTAGAATCTGTTCTTTTGTTAATGATTTTTATTTGAGCAAATGATTATTATGACAAATGGACTATGGCATTTTTTTTCCAGCCCCAGTAGAAACATTAGAGATACTGGTGGAGGTAATTCCCAGGATTATTTGGCAAAATCTTTAGCATAGCACACCAATTAATCTTCCATGTCTCTAAAATTAATCTAACCACTTCGTGTAGGTTAGCTTAAATAACTGTCTGCTAGGGCCAACATATAAATAGGTTCATATTGGCAACAGATTCCTTTTAAATTACATTTGTAGTCAAGTTATTCTGCAGGAAATATTCAGCCTCTGGGTTAGAGCTGTGCTTTCTGTCTTGTTGTGGCTTTTGAGAAGGGAAGTCTGGCCTGGCATACAGAATCTTTCAGTAATATTGATCATTAATCTCAGACTCATCTTGTCCATCTAAATCACAAGAGATCTTTTCAAGAGCAGAAGGAGCACAACACTAAGAAGATATTCAGTTAGAAATCATTTTAATAGGAATTTTACAACTGCCTGCAGTACAGAAAATTTGAAAAAAATTTCAAAATATTTGCAAATCAATAAAAAAGTTTCTCCCGGAAATGTACGCACCTCTCTAAAACTGCAAGGAAAAAAGATTTGCAAGTTATTGTACAGTAAACTTACTGTGATCTGCTGGAGTGAGAGATTTAATTTACATACTAATGCTGCGAGCAGTTTGGGAGGGGGAGAAGAGTTACTTAGCACCAGTAATGAGCAGAAAGGAAAAGAAGGCAGCAACAGTCCCCACGGACTGTTTTGTTTTCAATAATTTCAGACTGTCTAATAAAGCCTTTAATAAGCTGCTCTCAGCTATAAAGCTGCAGTCAGCCTTTGTCAGAGCAGATAATACTGTCCCAGACAGAAAAATAGTTCTGATAGAATGCACAAAAGACCCCATCTAAATAAAAGCTTCTCAAAAACAGAAATTAGAAGAAAATCCATTAGTTAAATGAATGAATTATGCTGTCTATACTATATAGCCTTTCATTTCTAAAAGACTAGAATTCAAAAGGTTAACTACTGAAGCAAAATCATTCTGAAAAAACATTATCTGGTTTACTCCAATCCTAGTTTACAATTAGACAAACTTGCTTATTTACAGTGCAGTTATGCCCTATAAATGCAATCTACATTACAACTGATCATGTTAATTTTCTGTTTGTAATCTATGTTAACCACCTATCCTCTAAGTGAGTATTATGTGTCAGACATTAACATCACAGTGGACTATTTACATTTAAGACTATTTTTACTCCACTCGGTTTAATGGCAGTTCTCAATGAAGTTCAGGTCTTGCTATAAGCCTAAAATACACACACTGCAGGTAAAACACTGACAGCGCACTACATTAAGCACAGGATTCCTCAAAACAGTCACTTTCATTGCTGACAAATGCAACAATGCTGACAACTCCACTGTTGCCAAAAACAGCCATGCCATCAACAACTGGTACTGAATCTACTCAACGTTTGGGTTTAAAAGTTGGTTTCTAAATCATTACCAATTCTAAAATAATTTGATATTATCCTTACTTTCTGTACCTGAATTTCTTAATCTTTTATAACCCAAAGCACTAGCAAGATGGAATCTAGATACTTTTTCCCCTCGTAATTATTTCCTGCCTTATTGCCATTCTTTTCTTGCTAGCAACAAAGTTACTGCAACAGGAGTTAGTACATTTTGCAGATCAGCAGCAACAACATAAATTACATTCAACAACAACTCAGGAAAACGTTTAGCTTGTCAAGGTTCTTAATGTATTCACAGAAACTCAAAAGTTAAGATCATGTTTTTAGGAGGTTGCTTTTACCATGACAGCCAAAACCTCTGAATAAAGAGCCACAATTTCAGAAACATGCTTAAAAATTAAGTAGGCATACTGTCAAAAAATAGCCTATCACCTTTACAATACAGATACAGATCTCTGTTTATCCTCTTTTTAATATTATTTTCTGTCAAGTTAGAATAAACAGTCATGGGCTTTGATACTTGGTTAAGTACTTTGCTCTTGTTTAAGGAAATACTAATTTAACTTAGAAAAAACACATCATGTGTAGAGTTTAAGCAGCAAAGTGGTAGCTTTCCTCTCTTGAAACATTCCTGCCACATCTTATAGGAACAGGAACCGTCTGTCTGCAACTGGCTAGTTACACATTCTCTAACAGGTGCCAAATCCCAGAACAGTTGAGGTTGGAAGGGGCCTCTGAAGATCATCTAGTCCAACCTCCCTGCTGAGCAGGATCACCTAGAGGACGTTGTGCAGGATGGCATCCAGGTGGGTTTTGAATACCTCCAGAGGAGACTCCACAACCTCTCTGGGCAACCTGTCCCAGTGCTCTTCCCCCCCCCAGTATTATATTAACGGCACATCGATTCACTTGCAACCAAATGCTCCCTTTGATTTTAAAATCATCCTATAATCTGAAACTATTCAGGATTCTAACTTTCTTGTGAAAGCACTGACCTCTGCACAGCACCACCACCTGATAATTAGACAGCTACAGTTGCATCAGTCATCTAAGAGAGCTTCCCACCCCCCACCCACCCTTTTTTTTTTAAAAATTGTTTCTACTTTAAAGTTATTCTATGCTATCTCAGAAATCCTGGGAAATAATGGTAGCATGCAGTTATACACCAAGAGCTCAAATAAGAGGTCACAGAAAGGGCTTCTCATTGCCATTTCCTTGCAATGCCCTGTCATTTCAACACAGAAGGTTAAATTTCTCCAGAAGTCTCTCTACAGGGCTTCCATTGTTTGTCAATCAAGGCTGGGACACAATGACACTCATTCATGCACACAGTAAACAAGCAGACAAGGGCCAACGATTAGTATACAGTCTCATTTTGGTTCTTCTGCAAACAGTTTGTAGAAAGATGGTACTTAAAATAAGCTATGTCAGTTTTTAAAAGATGCAATGCACTCCTAGTATAAAATACTTAGTAGGGAGCCCAAACAGAAATTAAGACAACTTGAGAGCAACTTAATAATCACCCAAAACATAACTCATTCATTAGGACTGTTCCTGAAAAAAGATCTGCTTGGTACAACCACATGCAAAAAAAACCGTATTTTAATAGTTAGAGAAATACACATTCAGAAAAGTTGAAAATAGCCGATTCTTTTCATAGACAGTCATAACAAGGTTTTGTTTTTTGAGTACCATTTAGTGTTTAGCCTCAGAACTTATGTTACTGAGAGGTACACAGACACCAATGTTACCAAGTGCACTTTAAGGTTGTTTACTTCATGTCTTCTGTTTGAGAACTCAGGAGATTTAAGGTTTGTTGATAGGTTTTGCCCCCACCCCTTTTTTTTTTTTTTTTGCAACATCTTAAAAATAGAAAAAACAATGACAGAAGTCCAATGCTACTGACAACTGGAGAGACTCAAGCCTCACACACCTCTTCATTGTTTTGCCTTTTCTACTTCAAAACTTGCTAGAGCAAAAACTTTGTCTCCTGATCCTGTGAAAGGAAAAAATATTTCCAGTAAGTATTAGTAGAAATCGTAATTTAGAGAATTTCCTTACATACAACATAAATCAAGCAAAACATTTGAAATCAAAAGAAATCAAACCTGCATTTTGAAAAGTAGAACACTTGAGCTCATAAAACGAAAAAACAGAGACATACTGGATTGGACAGCTCCAAAACTAACTATGTAGAGAGCTGCTAATGAAGCACCCTTTTGAACAACAGGCTTCCCACCTTGCCTGCACTCAGAAAGAGGAGCACTGAGAGTTCGGTCACAGAACTAGTTCATCTGTACCCTGACCTAGTCAGGCACATTCCTGCCATTCAAAGCTCTTTCATCCCAATTCTAACAGTAAAAATAGAATGAAGTGTCGTGCTTATTTAATGCATATTATAAATGAACTTTTGGTCTTGTCAACATGATTAGAGTTACAACAATCATGGCAAGAAGAGTACTTTAAAGCTCTATTTTGACAGCGTGCCAGTAATTGCAGGGTTCTCTGCATCGAGCAGAGGAAAAGGCTCTCCTGAAGAGTCATTAATGCAAAAAAGTATTGTTTAACTGTACGAGCAATATGTCTGCTTGAGACAGAGCATTCAAGGCTTCAGCATTATGTGAAACACTTGCCTTTTTGTGGCTTTTTGGCACTGAGTTTATTTGCTGCATTTCTTTACCCTGATGGGCAGTGTATCAGAGTTTCATTGTTAATAAAAATCGAAAAAAGCATGTCAGAATTTAATGGCATGAATCTTTTGCTTTTATTTTCTGTTTCCTAGAGAATCATATGTATTTCTAGTTATCGCTGTTTGAAGAGGCAAAGAAATTGGATTTTATGAGAATGAAAACTTACCAAGGTCAGTGGAGACTTTCTCAAACTGGCTCAGGGCTGCACCGGCATTTGCTGACAAGAAGGTCTCCTCATCAGGTGTCAGCTAAACCAAAAAAGGCCGTAACTGAACTTGATACCTTAACTATGCATATCCCCACCGTATTCCCATCATCTCCATCATGAAATGTGACAGCTTACAGGGATTATCGATTTGCAGTTTTATCTAATACTAAAAGCCAAAGTAAAAATGCAAGCTACTGCCCTGCACTGAATTACCGTCCTCAATACCCCCTGTCAGTCCAGAAAGGACAGCGTCTGCACCACTAGGTTTCAAGACCTCCAGTAGTAATTTTTGTTGAAATGGTCACCCTGCATCTTTGTACCATCTGCAAAGGATAAGAACTACCTTTTTTTTCTGTCATGTGGTCCATACACTAAAGAGCTAAGCTCTCAGCTCACCTCCTATCATTTACTGACGAAAGCCAAAAGAGAGCCACAGCCAGCTTTGACCACATTAACAGTGACCTAGAAAACTGTCTCTTCCTTTAAAGTGCTGTAAACCATCGGTGACATTTACACATGTAGATTTTGCTTTCATGTTTGTGTTCTGATGCCTTGGTGACAGATGCCCATAAAATATTTACAATAATGAAGCAATAACCTACATTTGAAAGGTTCAGATATCTAAGTTAAAATTCACTCATTTAAGTACCTCAGATACATCCTTATTAAAGCGAAGAAGAATTAAATGTGTCAAACTACCCACAGCATTTGTGTCAATTTAACAATTAAAAATACAGGCTACAATAGAACATCGGGTACAAACATTTAGAATCATGTCAGATGTAGGGAAAAACTACTAGTTACCTGTCTTTGCTGTATTTCGTAAGCAAGCATCGAACTACCTAACATTTTGCAGTTACTGTGCAGACAAACATATAATATTTACCAACATTTGTCACATTCAGAACAGATGAGAAACCACTATTTTGGGAAGTCCTCTGTGAATTAGGTGACCGATCATTTTAAAAGATTGAGACTGTCAAAGCATAACAGAGTGGCTTGTCTGTGGTGACCCAAGGAACTCATGCCAGGACCTTCAGGTAACTTCACAAATTCCGTTCATAATCTGAATTAGATGTGAATCTTAATTAAATGTTTCCAAAACACTTTTTTTCCTCTGACAATCTAACAAAAACAATATTCTGAGGAAAAGCACTTGCTAATATCACCTACCTGGAACGTACCTCCCTTTAGTACCACACTAGGTATTTTCCATCACATTCCCTCATTTACTAGGAAAGTTTAACTACAGAGATACACAGCAACTCATTTTCTTCATACACCTTCAACAAAAAGAAATAACTTCTCTTCCTCCCTCTAGCGGTAAAAAAACACACCACACACACAAAAGCAGGATTGTTCTGCACACTGATGCAATTATTGGGGAAATACGTTTAACATCTACCTCTCAAATGTGTATATCTCACACCAAGGAACAGATATTATCAACAATACAAAACTGAGTTAAAGCTCAATGTGTGTCAAAAGTCTGACAGCTCTTGCTAGGTGGACAGGAGGTAGTTAGCTAGTAAAAGACTTGTATTGCAGTTTTCGTATCATGATCTTGTGGGAACTTCTATGTGATTCACTCCTATGGCCCAACAAAGACAGTTATAGTCTTATATAAATGTACAATACTATTTGGCATGTTTAGTAGTGCGTGCTTCAAGACATTTACTATGAAAGCAAGATACATTTTATGATTTGTTCATAAAAAAGTTGTTATTTCTTCTTTTAATATATAAGATTTGTCTTCAGTATACAGATAAAAACGTCTATTCACCAGCTAGCTTTCATGCTAATGCTTTACCTTCTCACCAAGCTTTCTGAGGGCAGTCAGGATTTCAACTTTCTGTTGTGTGTATAGGTCTCGTCCCAACTTTCCAACCATTAAGTCTCTGTCCATCTGTATACCAAGAAAAAAAAAAGTGAAAACATATAAACCTCCCAGCAGTTTCACTCAATAAAACAGCATGACCACTGCAACAGCCTAAACATATGTGTTGGGTCTGTATCAGTAAGCACGGTACCCATGGAAGTAAGGGACAAACCTACCTATACCTCAACAGATGGCTGCACATTTTTTCTGACATTGTGCAGATACTCTGCACCTCATGTGCAATTCATTCAAAATTATGGATTCATACATCACTGATACACAAGGGAATCACATTTCACTTAATCTAAATCTCAAATTCAGTCATGATCTGAAACACAAGTGCGCTCTCCAGCCCCTCAACACAATTCTAGATTCAAACTCTTCAGATCTTCCATCTGCAATTATACTCAGCTCACTTTCTGTTAACCATATTTTTGTTTTGAAATAGCAAGATAGAGAATAACTCATATACATTGTTGTCCCCATTACTACAATGAACATTTGAAATTGGACAAACTCTGGAAGATAACTTCTTTATCTCCTCGTGATGCTACCAAGTTTCCTAACACACTTGGTACTCTCCTTGCAATCATTACAAATTTAAATCAATCTAGTTCAAATAAACTGTTCTTAAAGTAAAACAGAAACCTTCACCTCTGCCAACCTTGTCCTCAATTGCCTTGGTTGTTTCTTTGCAAACATTCTAATTACTTCTGGAGTTTTAAATGCTTGGCTGATGGCTGCTTGTATTGCCTGCAAAGAAAAGTACAAGAATGACCAGAACTAATAGCAATCATAAACTATAGCTGCATGACAAGATTAATGAAGGCTGGAAAGCATCATTAGTATCCTCTGCATCGTTTGATAAGAGAGCTTTTCTTTGTTTGCACAACCATGGAACTTAGATGAAAAAAATATCCAACATTTATGCAGGGCTTGAAAAATCCACTAATTGGTGCAATTATACTGAGAAAAAGATGTGCAACTTTTAATTAGAGTCCAGGTCTTAATTAAACTTCCAACGTCTTCCTGATATCATCAGGACACAAGTGAATGTGCTGTGCTATCTTAAGCAGTTTTTATGCCCACACTGACAATTACAGTTCTAAGAGTAAGCAGAATGTAATTGATGAGGTCAATCTCCCGTTGCTATTCAAAATACTCTACAGAATATCAGAGCTATTATATTAAATCTCACCACAGTTATTTTTCGACAAACCATGATTTCTCTGGAAACATAACTCAAAACACAGGGCTTGTCAGGAACATATCATGTTTTCATTAAACACTTGAAAAGACAGAAAACTGATCAAAAGTTTGTGAGTCAACATAAAATAAGATCAATACACCAGAAGAACTTGAATTTACAGTCACCATTAGTCTTTTCATTTGGACTGGGATGACTCTCTGAAATACAAACCAGATACGAGCGTATGAAATGCTATCCTTATCCTTCTTAACAAATAGGCAAGAACTTCGTTTCTCACCATATATTGTCCTGGATTGTCTCTCACACCTTTTAAATTATTTAGTAACATTTTCTAATATTCAGGCCCTGCAGTTTCCCACATTTTTTTCTACAATGTAATCACTGATACTTTTTTTCCCCTCCTGTTTTAAAATGAAGAGACCTACATACACATGCATTAAATAATAAAAGCATTCAGTGCAGAGATGCAGGTTTCACATGCCCCTGTATAGATATTATAACAGACCACTTAGATTTATTTCCTGTTTTGCTGAGTCCAGGCAGAATCCAACCTACTTTTAATAACACATCAGTCAGACAGATCTGAGTAAGAATCATCTTTACCAGTTGCATGCCACTGAGCTCATCCACCAAAGTCATATCTCCAGACATAATCTTCTTCAGTGAGTCATTGATCTCACTCAGCTGTTCTAGAGTTTCTTTCTTTGTTTCTTCATACTCATCTGCATCTAGTTCCTCTCTAAAGAAGAGCCAACAAGATGTATTAAATCACAGGATTAAAACTGAGATGTCCTTTTTTTTTTCCATATTACATCATGGTGTATCATGAAGCACATATCCTCAAATAGCAATAAAAATATTCACAGCACTTAACATTATTCCGCTTCTAGCCCTCTTAGCTGTTATTTGGCTCATGAATATGAGTTTGCTTCTTGTTTTTGTACCTCTTCATAGCTGTCCATACAGTTGTGTTGCTTGTACAAATTCATTTACATAAAAAGACACTGACAGCTACGAGATACTAAACACATGGTACAACGTTAAAAAATTTATTTGGGATCTCAACAACAAAATGCAGTGAGATTGCCTTACTTAAAGGTAAGGTGGATCAAATCATCTGAAAAGCCCACCTCCTCACTCCAAAACCATCAACTGATTCAGGCAAAAAAAAAAAAAAAAAAAAAAAAAAACATCAGCCCTTAATCCTGCTGCTTAAGCCTTGGTAAACTCAAAGAATGACACACACAACTGTTCTTGAAAATACAAGGTTTTTTTTTCCTATCTCAAATTTTACTAGCCTACAAAGAGCTAAACAGTCAGGAGGAGTATCACATGAAGATGTTAAACAAACTATGGAAAAATATCCACAACCAAATCTATAATTATAAGACAAAGCAAAATAAAAGCACACAAAAGCAAATAACTGATATTAAAAAGTTTGTATGAAAATTGAGAATTCTGTGAACAACTACTGCAAGTTAACAAGTCCCACTGAAATATAAAATTTCAAAGAAAATTGTAATTAATATTTTTGCCCTCATTTTCCTCAAGGGGATAGAATGACCTTAATAAAAAATGTTTTTTTCATATCACTTTTACTACTTAATATTAACATCCTATTGTAATTTTTTAAAAATAAAGCCACATCAAAACACAAAGCCAAAACAAAAAAAAAAAGACTTTTGAAAGGTACAATTCTCTTCTGCCAAACACTTAAGAAAAATATTCCCATTTAAGAGGAAAGCATCTACTTTTATTACCTGCATTCCTCCAGATCTTGAAGCTGCTGCATTAACCTATCCAACTGCTCTTCCAAGTTCTGTTTTAGTTTAGTGGTCTCTGTTGTTCCTCTTGAAGCCATTTTCAGTTTTCATAAGAAAATCCAAAGTTGTTACATAACACTCCTAGGAGAAAGAACGCATTACTGTTATGTATCAACACCTTAAAGCACATTTTAAAGTGATCCGATTGATCAATATATTGATGACAGAATGTCTAATAAAATCACTTTGAGATCCCAGCAGCAGAAATACTGGAATATTAGGCTAGGTCTACAGGATCATTGTTTTTGTAGCAGGAAATCATACGCCAAGATAGTAACTCAAACAGCCATATCACATAGAAACATCTCCAAAACCCAGCGTCAATTACTGATGACTTTTTGCCTCTCTATAAGAAAACAGCAGGCTCTTATAGAATTCTTTAGGTTGGAGAAGACCCTTAAGGTCATCAAGCCAAACCACCTACATCAAGTCCACCAGGAAACCATGTCCCTAAGTCCATGTCTCTTCAGTACCTCAGTACCTCCAGGGATGGTGACTCTGCCTCCCTGGGCAGCCTGTTCCCATGCCCAACCACCCTTCCCGTGAAGAAATTCTCACTGATATCCCACCTAATCCTCCTCTGGCACAACGTGAGGCTGTCTCCTCGCATCCTAGAACTCCTCAGTTTTTATTCTTCACCTTCTCTACAACCGCCCCTTGCAAAACAACTTAAGAGCCAAAACCCCAAATTTAGGAGCCTGAAGCACATAAACACCCCATTTGAAACCATTAGCTGCAGAAAAACAGAACATTCTAGAGAAAATCCCTGCTTTTTGGATATTCAATAGGCCAAGTGGCCTGAGCGCAGCGATCTGAAGGCTGCACCCAGCCGAGACGCCGGCTCCCCGGGTACCGAGCAGGCGGCCCCCAGCACCCGCACGGATGCCAGCGGCACCCCCCGGCTCTGGAAAGCACCCGGGGAGGCTCCACGACCCTCCCGAGTACCACGGCGAAGCGGTAACGGCGAAGGGCTGAGGGAGGAGACGGGGAAAGAAGCAAGGCCGGCAGCGCCCGGCAGGGAGGGGAGGCCGCAGGGGTGCCCGCAGGCAGGGAGGGGAGCGCGGAGAGGGATCCGAGCCCCTCCGGGATCCTCCGGGATCTCTCCGGGATCCCCCCCGGTGCCCTCCCGCCGCCGCCTCACCTGGGGCAGGCCGGGAGCGGGGCGCCGTGGGGCCGCTTCCGGAGCGCCGGGGCCACGGAGATGGCGCCGCCCGCAGCGGCTCTGGGAGCAGGGAGGGCCCGGGTAAGAGCCGGGGGGATGCAGGGGGCCGGGGAGGGACCGAAGGGACCCGGGGGGGCCGGGCAGGGCAGGGCAGGCCGGGCTCTCGTGGTGGGGGTGGCTGCTGGAACGGGCCGGGCAGCGGCGGGCCCAGCGCGGGGCAGCTGGTAGCGGAGCTTCCTTCTGTACGCCGGTGGTGTGATGGGTCTGAATCTTTCTGGTTTTTTTTTGGTTGTTTTTGATAAATGGGTGTTTTCCTCGGAAGTGTGGAGGTGGTAGGCCGAGGCGGACTCACCGCGCTGCCTGCGCACCCGTGGAAGCGAACAGCGTGGGGTGCGGGGCCGGGCCAGGATCTGCTGTGGGCACATCCCGGTGGGGTCTGTGCAAATACGTGTCGGGTGTCAGGGCTGCGAGTGCTGCACGCTACATGAAATCACACACAAACATGCCGAGACTTGATATAAACATACATGTAAAGGGTCATATACATTACATTGCACTTTTTTTTTTTTCCTTATGAAAAAGTGAAAATGATCCACAGCATCCTATGCTTACCGAACCAACCACTGAGCACAGCTTTACCTTTTTTATTTTTAAGCCTCTACAGAGAGATTTGACTAACATTTTATGTAGTACTCGATATCAGGGAACAATAACGGATGTGGCTGTTTGCAGTGTTGTGAAACAAACCACACGTAACTGACTGCACATAGCTCGTACCAAAGAGTTAGCGCTGTATGAAGGTCATTTCGTACAAAGCAGGTCCCAGCTCTGTGGGTACTCTGCTGGGTATAACGATGACAAACTAATGGCAGTAATCACAGTGATACCTCCTGTCATCTGCACTGCCCTCCACATCAGCCATGTAGCTGTTTTCTATGCAAATGGTCCTAGACAGAGGATGTCAACGCAGATTAGGAGGCTGAGAGTACGGGCAAACTGTGATGTTCTTAATTTCAGTGCAGACATGCAGTGCTGCAAGGTGATTTTATGCTGCAATACCTGTCTGTTTCTAAAGAGCGCAAAAAAGGATGAAAAAGAACGTTTGACTAACTCAAGAAGGCACTATACATTTTCATCTTAAAATCTTCAATTTTTCCCTTACCTTATTTTTTTTTTTAAGCAGAAAATCAATCCTTTTCCAATTTGCAGTATGAGTCACTTTCTTTAGCAAGTGGGGCTTTATGCATTACAAAGGCAAGTCCAACTCCTTTCCTTGCCTGTTCCCATAGTAACTCTTCGAGCTGATGCCCCTGTGAAGACTGCATTCCAAGTAACACCAGACCCTTCGAATGCTGAACTACTCTGCAATAATAAAGAATATTTTAAAAGTTTGTGAAACTCAGAAGCACAGAAAAGTACCAAAACTTGCAAAATGTGCCTCGTAAGATGCCTTGCAAGATTTCCTTTTATTCAAGGGCTATTTGATGTTAGTAGATAGGAGCTGTTAAAGGATTCAGCTGTGATGAGATACATCACCACTGTGGCGGCACTGAGCATTGCTGTTTCTTTGCAAAGAAGACTGATCATGAGGCTGACCTTGTGGGATTTTTCCAGGCAGATTGTGCTGTAGAAATAATGGCAGACCATTCAGTGCTCAACCCCAGTGCCTCAGACATCTCACAAACAGTAACAAGCAGGAGAATGGCCCATAATATATTCCAGTTTTCATTTGCTTGTTCAGGGCCAGCCTAGGAGAAACCATCTTGGCAAGCCAGAATGTTCTCATGAAACACTGAGGAGCAAAAATCCGTGCAGTGGGAGCAGAAATGAAAATGATGAGTGGCGAAATTTACTTGTTTTCCCCAATTCTTAAACATCTTTCTGAAACTCAAGTTGCAGAATTGGAACAGTGCAATTGTATTTTTATAAAGGGAAAAAAAAATCTGGTATTTAATTGCAGCTTTCACTAAACTTTTTAAAATTCATTTTTCTTCTATCATTAGTTTCACCGGTATACACAGTACGTGCTTTCCACAAAACCAAGTAGATTGGTTGTTTTCATGTTTAGGCCATAGCACTATCTTGCATACTAGGAGCATGTAAAATAAATCCCAAAGAAACGTTAACCCTCCTCTCTTCCAGAATTTAATTCAATATAATGTTAATTATGTAGATTTTGCTGAAAATAATCACTGCAGCAGCACTGGGAACTCTCAAAGGATGTTCTATGCCCCACTATTAGCACCAGAAGTAAGGAAGTTATTTATAAGGAAGTTCCCTGCAAATGTGTCTCTCGGCAGTTGATTGGCATTGTCATCTGAAAAAAAAAAAACAAAACACAAAACCAAACAACTATGACATTCTAATAAAGTTTGTCCTGGAATTGGAGACCTTAATCTCTCCTCCTGATTTTTTTGTTTGGTTGTTTTTTGTTTATTTTTGTTTGTTTGGTTGTTTTTTTTTGCACTAGCTGCTTTTCTTTCGAGTGGGCAGTACACTAGCTTCTCTTTTGATGAGCTGTCCATTTTTAATTAACTTCTAAAGGTGCTTCCTTCTCTTGCATATAGGAGGGAATTACAACTGCCAAGCTAATACATGGACAAGGCAAAGTTAGGTTCACGTATCTATTACATATGTTGTCCTCCTTGCATTCTATTCAGGAGTAACAAGGAAGAACTAGAGGGAGTGTTTTTAATCTCTTAAAAGCGGGATAGTGCAGTATCACATGAACGATCACAAGCCAAATGCTGATGGGAGGAAAATACAGTGATCAATTTGCCCTTGATATCATCTGCTTATTGGCAGCACAAATGAGTAGAAATAATTATTTTTGATCTCTCTCACAGTAACTAGGCCCAACGTTCTCCTCTTGGCTCTGTAGCTGTGAGGAATGGCTATGGAAGATCCCGACAAGAAGACTGAAGTAGTACTGCTGGCCTGTGGGTCCTTTAATCCCATTACCAACATGCATCTCAGGCTATTTGAGCTGGCTAAAGACTATTTTGATGGAACAGGTAGGATGGTAATTTATAGCATTCAAAACAGCTCTCTATCCAGACACTTAAATGTTAAGGTGAATATTTTGTTTATGCCTGTTTGACAGTGATAGATATTTTTGGAAAACTGATTAGGTATTGAAGCTAGTATGAGTGTGTAACCTACTTACTCCTGTAGGCTAAATACAGTCTCACTTATTTGCTGCCTTTTACTAATTCTAATGAAGTAAAGCACTGGTTTTACAGTTTTTCTGTCTGAAATCAGAAAAGCATGAGCAGATGTCATAGAGATATATCTTTCTAATATTTCTTACTGAATATTTAATTGTGCCTCCTTGTACAGTGGCAGAAATATACCGTACTTTTCCACTGGGCTAGTTATTAGAGCTGTCACTGATGTTCTTAGAGACTTCAGTGAACAATGAGTGTGTAATAGTTTAAATACAATACTGTGGAAATAACATCTGCTCAGCCACTTTTCATGTTCTTGTGTGATATGCTTTTTTTTTCCCCCACAGGAAAATACAAAGTAATCAAAGGAATAATTTCACCAGTAAGTGACGCATATAAGAAGAAAGGTCTGATCAGTGCTGATCACCGAGTAACCATGGCAAAATTAGCGACCAAAAACTCAGATTGGGTGGAAGTTGATGACTGGGAAAGCAGCCAGAGTGAGTGGGTCGAAACAGTAAAAGTTTTAAGGTATTCTTCTGTAAAATCCTAAAAGTTTTGAGAACCTATAGAATAATAAGGAATGGTGTTAGCTCTTGCAAGTTAGACTAACCCCAAATAATGTAAATAAATAAACTCAGTGAAGTCAAAAGTACTATTTGTATAAACATTGTAAGTGAAGGATTGCAATGTTAGTCATGAACGTACACCAAATGTGCCTGAGAACAGCTTCTAAGACAATGTATTTTTTCTTAGGCTCTATTTAGTTTTTGTGCTGGAAAGATATTCCTAAGAAAAGACAAGAGACTAGAATAGGGTGGGCATAAGCTATGCAAGCTTCTCTCATTTGATTTTGTTTGTGCTATGCTGCCAATTTGTGTATTTAAAGGCTAGCATGAGAATCATCTAAAGTAATTTCTTTTTTTTTTTTTTAATGTTTTTTGCTCTTTCAGTCACTGCTACTTAACTGAGGTTCTTCTTTTTGTTTAAAAACAAGGAAACAAACCTTACAGTTGTTGCTTTGAAATCTCTGAACTTTTACCATCTTATAAGCCAACTCTCAGAAGTCCTTCCAGCAGATCAGTTCTTGGATGGGTTTTCTGTGAAGACACTACAAGAGGAAGTGGTGAAAGGTTATTTAGTAGATAATACTCTTCCCTATATTCTTTTGCATCTTTAAAATATCTTAAATACCTCTGTTTTGTAGGTACCATCATCAAAAGCTTTTGTCTTCTGATCCCACTAGTAGTCTGCAGAATGCTTTACCTTTAACAAAGCCAGGACGGAAGAGGAAACAGGAACCAAATAGACACGACCCTATTAAAAAGAAAAATCAGAGTCCAGATATAAAAAGTTAAGTCTATTTGCAAATTAAATGCTTAACAATAGTTGCTATTTCAAGGGAATTGTGCTGATGAGTAACTTTTTTTATGCTACTTCTTGTTTCTGATTTTAGTGAAAAAGGTTACTCATCTAGATTCCAAAGCATAAAATGGTGGGTTTTGGTTGTTTTTTTCTTTCCTTTTATGCAATCCCCTCCACCCCTTGCCATGCAAAAGCTAGCTCCTCTTCTGTAACTCTACAGAGTGTCACATAAAGTTTTAAAACCATTACAGTATCCCTTCCTAGTTAGCTATTCTGAAATCCTCTCTAGATTTTCTTTTACTTTGATCCTTTGATTGATTCACCCCAAAGCTAAATAAGCATATTAGAGTATATTTTTTGGTCCCCTTGAATGAAAAGGCTTCCATAACCTTTTGTCAGAGAAACCTTGTGTTAAGGCTACTAATTGTAAACTATATGCTCTGAATATATATATATATATATATATATTTTAATTTCATCTTAACCAAGATAGGAAGAGTTGGCCTAGATATTAAATGTCCTCATCAAGCAAGCTAAAATCTGGTGGCCTAAACCAAGCCCGGTTTCTCATTTATTTTTCTTTTTAAGGTACCCCACAGATTAAACTGCTTTGTGGAAGTGACGTGCTGGAATCCTTTGGGATCCCCAACCTGTGGAAGTTGGAGGACATCACTGAAATTGTGCAAAATCATGGCCTTGTATGCATCAGTAGGGCTGGAAGCAACGTTCAGAAATTCATCTACGAATCTGATCTTTTGTGGAGACATAAGAATAATATTCACCTTGTGGAAGAATGGATCACAAATGACATTTCCTCCACCAGGATCAGGAGAGCACTGCGGAGAGGCCAGAGCATACGTTACCTAGTGCCTGATGTAGTTCTGGCATACATAGAAAAAAATAATCTATATAATCCAGAAAGTGAAGACAAGAATGCTGGGGTTGTCTTAGCTCCCTTACAAAAATACGCAAGTGATTCCAAGAACTAACAGGCACTATACAGCAAATTTACTTTCTGCTGTGAAAAGGTACTAGTCGGTACAGGATTTTTTTTTTTTTATTTGCTTGTTTGTTTTTGGTGACTTTTTTATTAAATAGCAGGCCAATTCAGTAGACATGTAGTTGCTGTTCAGGTTTGGTTTGCTTAAGAATTGGGCCCACACAATCTTTTTCAAAAATACAGTTAGAAGATTTTCACTTTTAAGCATATTGTCACAGTTCATGAACTAAATACAAGAATTCACAGCAGTATATGAGAATTACAAATTGATGAACAGATAAATGAAAATGTTCTGATTTGTTTTAACTCAGACTGCTCTGACTGCTATTTATAAAATAGGAACACAAATGTTTTTAATAACTCACAGTGCTGTAAGTAATAAATCCATTTTATTTCAAAACATACCACTTACTGATAGTAAATCCCTATAATTACTACTACTTTTTAAGTTGCTAACATATGATGCAACTTAAAGAAATGATATAGCTGTACCCTGGAAGGGAAAAACTTACTCCTGGCTGAAATGGCACTAGATAAATCATGCTTTTAGTTGCCTGCCTTTCAAATATGAAGCCCGTTTACTTGCTCTCACACAGTTTGCTCCCCAAATTGGCTTGTGCTTTACTTTTCCATTCATGTTTCCTGAGCTGTAGATTCAGTTCAACAATGTTTCTCATACCTACTTCAGAAACTGGTGTATGGCCATTGATTTAACGGAAAGAAGTTAATAATAGTGTCACTGCAGATTCTCAGACAGTTGTCCCTTTATTTCAAATAATAAATGAGCCTTTACTTTTGAGCCAAATGTATGTACCTAGATATGTTTTTATGTTAGTGGAGTTGAAAAGAAATAGTAGGACACTAGGACTGTTCATAAGTGAAATGTTTTTCTTTGCTGGAAATCTGGTTTAGAATCTAAAAACATATTGTCTGTATTAAGTGAATATAAACTAAAGAGGCACTGTGAATGTCATGGTAATATAATTCTACCTCCCTTTCTTTGCTGTCATCCCATTTTTGGTTTGGATTATGTGCCTTAATAAAAATGTCAAGGTTTCCATCAAGGTTTCTGAGACACTACCTAACAGGTCAACAGCTTCTTCATACTATCTCCTCAAAACAAATCTGTTCACATTTTTTAGGATCAACAAAGCCAACAGAACATGAAGTTCTTGATGTGCAGAGCGTAGGTGGTGGTGGGCAAGACTAGAACCATGGACTTGCTTTGGGATCATAACTGTGACAACCTGTCATCCTTCTTCCCTGGCAGGTGATTCCCAAAAAATTACACAGAGGTGTGGCCTTCACTGAGAGCTTAGGGTGAATCTGGAAGCCAGAAGCCCAACACAGAACATGACGGTTGCCCTAGAATGTGCAGGGCTCATATAGAACCCAACAGGAGATTAAAGATTCTAGTGGGAGAACGTGTAACCTGCAGTGGAGCTAGGATCACACATACAAACCTGGAGTCTCATAATATTATAAAATTACCATGTACTAGGAGCTCTGTTCTGCTAGCTGTGTAAAGGTGGCCATCTGTGGTGGTTTTACGTGGGTGGGCAGCTGAGTTCCACCACAGCCACTCTCTCACTCCCCCTCTTCAAAGGCACAGCGTCTGCAGGTAATGTACAAGGAAATTTTTAGTGTAACAAAATCAAGGCACAGCTTAGAAGGTCATCTGTAACTCTACTGTGACATAGAGTAGCATCATAGATCTTATTTTTTTTTCCTGGGTGATTTCTGCATCAAATGTGCTCAGTGCCATTTTTTCCCTTAGAGCTTAGGCAAGCTTACACAGTCTCTTGATAATGAGGCTGGGTTCATGTATCATCAACAGTTACAAAGGCACTGAAGGACATATTAAGCCCCTATGTCACACCTTAGCATCAAACTGCCATTGAAGATAAACTGTATTATTGATGGTGCATGCAAAAGGATAAGATCTATGTTATTCTTTCGTCTGTTGTCTTTCTTGATGGTTGACAAGAACAGAGAGCAGGAAAATGTTATTTCCAGCATGCACGTCAACAAGTGTGCTTCTGAATAAACAGAGCAGATATTTCCAGTAGGAAAGCACCCCATTTATGTGGTCACTTTTCAGAGTAAAACTGCACTTTAGGTTTATTCTTCCAAATAATTACATTGTTATATATTGGTGCACTGTGTAATTCTAGAGAAACTGCATATTTAACAGGATGTTTATAAAGCTGTGATCTTCAGACAGTTATTTCACTGGGTTTTAATGTAGTTATATGTGATGAGTCTTCTGATAAAATAAATTGCATGCAGTATGATAATTTTAGTCATTAACCAAATCTGATGTTTGATGACTGCATAACTTTTAAGTAGTAATGATGTCAGTATGGTTTTGTCTATACAAAACAGAATATTGTTCAAAAATCGTGGTGAATATGGATCTTTTGTTTTACCAGTGGGATCCAGAAATCTCCCTATTACAACACTAGAAGTAAACATATACTGACAATCTGCTGTCCCGATCAGTTCTAAATATCAGTATCACAGTCAGTGAGGTGTCATATTCTGAAATGTTCAAGTAGTAAAACATGCAAGAGTTGACTAAGTCTAAGAGAGAATGTATATACTTGTAAGGTTTGGGAATCATGCAGTTCATTGAACTTCTTTATAGGAGTTGTAATGCATTCACAGATATTCTGCAAGAAAAAAATGAGGCTTGCTTTCTTGACATTATTGCTTTTGGTCCTACTCAATTAAGAACACATAGGGTCCTTATACCACATAAGTAATTCAGACTCAAATTATTTTACAAATACTGCAACAGCAGTAGGAACCATTTAATTTACTTCTGTAATGAGGCTACATCATCGGCAGAATGTTTTATAAGCTCAGTGCTGCACAGCAATTAAGATGGACATGGAAAAAATATCCACAAAAAAGGAAAAATAGAGGAAGATGAAATGAACCATCACAGGAGGTGGCCAGTACACTAGGGAGTTCTCACAAAGTTGCATACACAGTTCCTTGGCTTAGTCTTGAAATAGTTACCTGAGTATCCTCCATAAATCTTAGTTTGAGATTTTGAACTGTTTTACAGAAAGAAGCACCACATCCTGGGCAATCAGCACAATCTTAATTTTCAGCTAAAAAGTTAATCCAGACTTTTGGGGAGGATTTATACTAGTACTGACTTCTCTTTACTTGGAAGAGTCAATAGTATTGCAACAGTGCTCTTTTAGTATTGTAACCTTGTAATAACAAATTGTGGGTGAAATGCTACTACTGGAGTCCAGGGGAAACATTAATTTGCATTTCTCTGTACCATTCCCAGTTTAGTATAGGTTAGAGAACAATATCCAACTGCAAACAGGAAAGAAGCTTTGACGTCCTAATTTCCTACTCACATGATTCTGTGAGTCATATAGGTCAAACTGTCATCTCCAAAAATGTAGTTAAAGTTCAGTGAAACAATTTTCTCTGCAAAATATTATCCTTTTGTTCAGCCTGACCTGAATCAGTGACCAGGTAAATGTAGTAGCTGTAGGTGATTTTTTTCATTCAAGATTCAGAATACCCAATTCTTTTTTTTACTAGCAGTTAAGATTTCCCTTGTCCATCAATTTTGGGTTTTTCTTTCAATGTAGCCTTCACTGTCATGATCGTTATTGTCCCATCTGACAAATTAAAATGTAGGATTAAGCTGATGCTTAAAACATATGCACAAATTTAGAAACTGTTGTTTTCCCCATTTTACAGACAAGAAACTCCAGTACTTCAAAATTCTAGACTGCTTACTATTTCAGGGTTATAAATTCCCATTTCTTTTTAAATGTACTTTGTAAATTGTCACAATTAGGCATACGGTTTGCAAAAAGTGGCCACAGATGGAAGAACTGCAGGTGACTGGAGAATTGTATGTATTCTGTAGGAATTCAAGTCTTATTTCTAAATTCCTCACATATCATTTCCCTTTGAAGTGTTCTTCTATTCATTTTTCAAAATATATGACTGGGTCATCACTTAAGGAATTTATTTCACTGTGTTGAAGTCTAATATTGAAGCTTCCCAGCTGCACCATGTGCTATACTCTCTATATACTCTAGCACAATGCACAGCACCTAATAAAGCATCAACGGGATTAATGCTCCATATGATCTCCCCTTTACTGTATGCGTCAAGAATAAAAAGCAAGGGGAGAGCCACATCTTCTATCTACATGACTACTTTTTGAATTTCTTATTGTCATTAGCTGTTTTTAGGAGTTAAATGTGAATTGCAAGAACAGGTATTTGACTTCTTTCCTTTAGAAAAACTGATAAATATAGAGCTGTAGAACTGTGAACAGATCTCTGGCCTCTAGATCTGTTGTCTCATGCTTAGCTGTTACATAAACTTTCTGTCTGATAAAAGCACCAGGGAAACCAGAGAATTTGCTGTTCATTCTGCATGTTTCCCGTGTGCTTGGATGTCCATTTACCTAAGATATATCTAACAGAAGTACAGAACACAAATGGGTAAACTGTGGCACAGCAGAGTTGTGTTAAGAGTCACATTAGAGAATAACATATGCAAAAACAATTGGTCTCTCACTTTCCTGTTACAGCCACTAGACAACAATGCTGCCTATTATCCATTCCAGGAATAAACCAATGAGACACTCTACTTAGTTCTATTCCTGTATCATAAGTACTACTTTAAGACTTGCAGATACAGTACCATGAACAATTTACCAGTCAACCCCTGCCTGCTAAAACATCGTGAATTTGCAGTGGGTAGATCACCTTTTAAATAAATACGTAGATTTCAGATCATAAACCCCCATACCCAAAATACATGCAAGGAATCTGACTAATGACAAATTGTGTCCGTGATTCCCTTTAAAGTATACAAGACAGACAGAAGTTTAACCAGTTTTTCGTTTGTACTGTGTGACTCTTGGGTTAATAACATTTGCTCCATACAAAGATTTCAGAAACTGTGAACTTTTCCCTCCAACACAGCCGAAGCTAATCCACAAATGTCCTGTCACCTATTGGCTCAGCAACAGTACCCCTCCCCTCCATCAGAAAGGATCTCTGATGTAATTCCACCCACAGTCTTCCTCATATAAGGCCTGGTTGGAAGCCTATTTCTTTATTTTTGCTTGTTGCTCAGGGGTTCATTGCAACTTCTTTCTGCAGTCTAGAAATGCCTGTAGATTTCAGTGGAACCTGGAACCTTGTCAGCAATGACAATTTTGAAGGCTATATGGTGGCTTTAGGTAGGTGAAATACCTCATTCTATCCTTCTTCCTTCCCCCATGAGATTCCTTCTGAATTTTAAGTGTTTGAATTATTTCAAAATCTAGATATTGGTGAAGCTTTTTTGTCCAGAAAAACAATGGAGAGGTATTTGTTTGCTGATTAATTACATAGCACTAGCAATTATTTTAGCCTGTAACCCAGGCATCCTGGTAGGTTCCAGGAACTCAGCCTGGTACTTGTTAAAAGGAGAACTTCTGAATACTTTTTATGTGAGATGAGGGAGAGTTCTCTCTGTCCACTGAGTTTCTCTTGCTTTTCAGAACAAACGTATAGACCTTAGTTTAGGTCTAGTCTTAGGGTTAATTACTTAGTCTTAGGGTTAATTACTAAATAACAAACAAGTTCTTGTGTATTTGTCAATTCAAGGCAACTGTTTTGCTTAGTATCATGAATCTTTAAACAGCTCACAAGACCGCTTATTCTGTGACCTGTTGAGCAGTCCTTCTAACTATCCCTTTCCTCATGTGCTTGAAGTTAACCTCTTATCTTATTCAGATCTTTATGGAGATATTAATGGTGCTGTAATGAGAACTAAAAGTTCTTGGTACTCTATTACCTTTCATGTGCAAAGCTAATTATAGACTGACAGCAGGTAACCCTGCATATCCCCTTCCCCTCACCTACCCCTGCCACCTCTTTCTGCCTTGTAGACTTGTGTAAGCTGACTGCTAACAGTATCCCTTGCAGGTAATTGCATGTGCAAGTAGAATGCAATCTATTTTCTATCCATATATATGCTGGGTGACCTACTTTAATCATCTAGTCGATAGCTTTAGCATGTTGAAAACTCTTCTCCCTTTC